ACCCATAAAGCGATGGTGAATAAAAAATAAAAAAGACAACCAAAGACAGACCAAAGGCAGGCCAGAGGCAGACAGCAATTTGAGTGATGGCCAGAAAGAACAGAAGAAGACGCAACAAAACGAAAATGAGAGTAAACCCGAATGTTATCAATGTGTGGGATATTCAATAGACGATCATAAGTAAAAACGTCTCTGTAATATTTAAATGAATATTGTGTCAACTTTTTTGTATTCTATTTTATTTTTTTAATAAAACAAGTCTAAAAATAAATCATTATAAATATAACATCTAAAAATATAAGTCAAAAAACTTACATTTTTTTTCTTATTCCCAAAAATGCATTATATGGTTTTCCTTTTTCTTCACACAAAATGAAAAGATGGTAAAAAGTCAAAATTGACTTGTTTTTGTTCTGGAAGATCTACCAAAATCGACAAGGGATTTATCATTTACAACCACTTTATCACACCCCAATAATTTTTTTTTCCAAAACAATAAAAGAAACAAACAACAAACACAAAATAAGAACTTAATATTGGTTTTACCATAAAGAATAAACATATAAAGGATACTTTTAGGTATTACAATTAAATGGGAAGACAGAAGTCTTACACAATAAAGTATAAATTAGACATACTTAAGCCATCTTTTCCTTGTGATGGTGTTCCCGGAAAATCACTATACTTAATTAGTAAAGATAGAAACATTCCTTACACAACAGTGAAACGGTGGTCACAGATGTTAAGCCAATTAAAATAGGCGGATAACAAACAGTCAAGAAGGAAACTATTGGGTTCTGGAAGACGCCCAAAATATTTTAACATTGAAAACGAATTGTATCTATTTGTCAAAGAATATAGACGAGACAACAAAATAGTCAACATGCCATTGATTCTTGACTTTTTGAAGAAGAGAAAAACTTTGATAAAAGAACACAAACAGCAGAAATAGGTTTATGGAATGATGAGGTGATTTGGATTGTCATTTCGAAGAGTAACTCACAATTTCATTGAAAACCCCAAAAATTAAATTGCAAAAACCAAAGAAACAGTTCAATATTTAATGGAAATTGAAAACATTCTTGATGGCATCGAAGATGATGCAATTGTGAATTTTGATGAGACTGGAATTGATTTTGATATGTGTCCAAATACAACGATTGAAATAAAAGGTGTGAAACATGTTTCAGTTGCAACTTGTGGAAAAGAAAAATCGAAGATATCGGTCATTGTGGCTATAACCAAAGGTGGGAAAGTTTTAACTCCTTTGGTTTTTTTCCCAAACTTAAACACGCTCCAAAAATTGAAGGTATTATTGCTGCAGTGAATAACAGTGGTTGTAACGATTCTGAGATAATGCGAAGATGGGTAGATGAAGTGTTAATTACATACAAAGAAAAAATGTGACTACACAAAATTGTTCTTTTTATGGACGGGTTTTCTGTTCACAAAAAAGTGTTCAATTCTTCAAATGTCGATTACTATGTAGTACCTGTTATATTCCCCTCGTGTTGTACTTCTTTTCTTCAACCATTAGATGTTTGTGTGTTTAAGGGGTTTAAAGAAAATCTTCAAAATGAGTGGACGTTGTGGATGAACGATAAAGAAAATTCATTTTTTACAAAGAAAAAAGGAAACAGGAAAAGCGCAACAAGACAAGAAGTGTGTTAATGGATTTTACAATCAATTAATTTGATGAGCCTAAAGAAAATACACGACTCGTTCAATGTGTATGGTATTGATCAAAGACCTTTTGAAACTCGTATCGAAATGATGTATAACCAAATCGCTGACAGAGTATATGATGCTCTTTCTTACATTGAGAACGGTTTTATTTGATCTTTTCTTTTTTCCATATTTTTATTTAAAATTTATTTTTTTTTATTTTTTTTTAAATTTATTTTTTTTATTTTTTTTAAATAGTTAGGCCCGGTTTTTTGGGGGATATACGGTAATCAAAAAATATTTTTGTGACAAAAAATAAACCGAGGCGTTTATTTATTAATTATACAATTCCTCATTTTTCCCTTATACTAATGTCTATCGAATAACATTAGTACCCTTATATCGAATAATAACTGTATTAAATTATTTGAATTTTGTTTAATACAGTAAAACCTCCAAAGAGCGGGTTCTCTCAAGAGCGGGCATTTTTTAGACTAAAACTAAAAATAGAGTTCTCTATCGAGTGGTAATTAAAGTTTGATTGGCTAAAAATGCCCGCTCTTGAGAGAACAAAATTCCCACGCCCTCCCGCTCTTGGGAGGTTTTACTGTATTATTATAAGTATTAACAACAAAAATAAGTTATTTAACGCAATAACAACGCGACGTGCATATGCACAACGGTTTGTAACGCTTACCAAGCGTTTCAATGTCAATCTTGCCTATAATAGTTTATAAAACTATTACATGGCAAAACATTCATTAAAAGGTCTTCTCCATCACAAGGGATAGAAGCCAACCTTGTCCCCAAGTCTTCTGTTTCGTTAAAAGAAACAGGGGTCTGTAGTTCATCTGAGGACTCTACTTGATGATTTGTGTTCACAACATGACTAGTCAAAAACACGACGGTGGGTTGATTCATTTGACTCCACTGTTGATTCATTTGTTGTGTCTCTCCAAATTGAAACATTTGACATCCAACAAATGGTGCTTGCAATCCCCAAAGTTGAGGAAAATACACCAACCCATTGGTACGTAAATCTCCAACGCTTTGATTGTAATTGTATTGTTTACCCAATGGGGAGTTATCA